GCAACCCCTTGGAAAAGGAAGGCTTCTGACATGTGAGTGCAATGACGATTTTATGATTCTTTGTGACCAGTCTGACCAATTGATTGGCCAAGTCACTCAGAGAGAGTGTGCTCTTGCAGAGGTTGCAGCCTTTGAGCCCAAAGACAGTGCCCATTGCTTGCGCTGGAGCCAGGAGGTGAGTCCAATCCGGCTAGTCAGACCAGCCTTGACAATCTTGCTTCGGCAAAAGAATTGGTTCAGAGGGTTGGGTGCAGCGGTTCTTCTCTTGATGTTTCTTGGAGTAGATCCATCTTCGTGTTGTTCCTTTTCATCTCCGTCTCCCTTGCCACCACATCTTAACCTCCTCATTTTTTTAGTGATTTACCTGAAACTCCCTGTCGTATAATAGTTTGAGGAAGATGATGTTTTTTTTGCTGGGCTGCTGCTACAGCTGCTACTGCAACCTTGCTGGTGGCTTCTGAGAAACCGCTCACTGTACTATTGCACAGCTGCTCACAGTCTTTCTTCAGTGGCTATCGATCCATGCCAGCATTTGTTATGCCAATAATTTGTAAGACTTAATGATGCATCACTTGCATTTCTTGTGGACGCATCAACGTATGGTCAGTACGCGGAAACTACAGCCGAGTGCTGAGATCACAGAATCTCCTCATTAACTTGTCCAGTCCTGGTGCTCACTGAGAAGTCCGAAGACTTGTAGTGAACAAGTCCATGCAATGTCAACAATAGGGTTACCCAATTCTGAAGCGCAAACAACCAACCTTCTGTGGGATCGTTGATGCTGTTTGAGAAGCAGTACCAAACAGTTTGGGTGGCACCACAAAGCTGCAAGCACTTTAGAGAATTGGTGAAGCTCCAGAACTGGCATGAATGAACCTTTGACCTTTGACCATTTGCACCGTTTCTTTCTGCCTTGACTACATAAGGAATTCACCTTCTCCGGGTCAGACGGGAAAACTGCAGCATTTTCGATGCCCACCAAACGCCCTTGCGCTGCATCGCATTCGACTGTTTCCCTGATCGGTTCATCACACATTATGTTTTCTTTGCCACGGCATCTGTCCTTTCGCTTTCGTGCCTACTGTACATACAAGGTTCTTGCATATGGGACCAACCAAATTGTCCCTCAGATATCTAGGTGGTGCAGGATTTCTTCTGCCAACAGGGGTACTAATAGCACTCTTCCTACTGATAAGTAAGTGCAGATCAACCTTCTGAGGATGTGTAACCGTGCTGCAAATGGAAATTCCCAGTCCTTCCCATGTGGCTGATGGGTGTGCACAATGGATGGATTTGCTGGGCTTTGCTTTGCTTTCTCACGGTTAGTCCTTACTTTGCTTGGTTTCACCCAATTTGTTCTATCCCCGAAATGTACCCACCACAGCTTTGGAGGCTGAGCCTTCACGTCTCCGCATTGAGGGCAACTTTGAGGCACCAGTCCTTTGCCGCGAGGCACGACGGTACAGAAGTGTCTACATAGTATTGTCTATAAAATTTCCCAACAATTGAACATAGCTTTAGTGAAATCCAAATGTGCTGGATCATTTGGATCTATGAGGTTTGAATCCAAACCTTGTGTGAGATGAAGCTAGGGTCCCAGCATGAATCAGCTGGCGTTTGTGCAGCACTATATATATATATATATATGTAGTCACTGCAAACGATTGCTAGCAACTCCACTGCACGCACATGTGCTTGTGAGACACTAAAGGGGTGTGCAACGTAATTGAGTCAGCACAGCTGAGTGTTGCATCGAATCTAAGACTGCATCGCTGGATGTTCAATGATAAGACTGGGCCACTGATGTTTGTGTTGAGGGGTTGGCACCGTCCCATCGATGGGGTCACTGAGATGCAGATCCGATGGCGGAAGAGGGGGAGCGGATTGGAGTTAAACTATGTACTGTAATAGTAAGTAGTAAGTTTATAGATGTTTTGGATTGCTGCTGGCTGAAGTTTCACTGGGTTTTGGAGGAAACGATGCTGAATGAAGACGACTTGTCAATGGAGCGTACAAACACATCCTGGAGGATGATGTTTTTTGCTTTTCCTTAGCCCACCAACAGAAACACAACTGACATGGGGCACCAGCCCAACCATGCTTACAGACGCAGCCACCACGACGAGCTTCACTGCACCATGACACGCATGTGAGTTCCTCACTAACAACCTTACTCAGTCAGAGCTCCAAGCAGACAGGCCTCAAATAGCCTCAAGCCTTCCGTGTTTAGCATGCTGCCAAATTCCTATACCTGCCTCGCAAGCTCAACGCGACTGCCCTACAAGTACTGTATACACTTGTACCACCCAACGACCTAGCTCTTCTGACTTTGGTACTTCCTTTCAGTGGCCCTCCAGAACGTTCTCGCATTGCAAGGTTTTCTCGCAAGCAACGGCAGCTTCATCTCGGTTGTTGGTGAGACAGGTGCATGTGCTGATCAGATGTCAGCCATGGTTTGTTTCTTTTGCTTCTTCAGTCGAGTCTTCCACTTGCTGAGCAAGGCCAGGTTTTCAATGAAGATACAGCTTTTTGAGTAGACTCAGCCTGGCAGTCAAATCTGCAATGCAGATTGAGTTTTGCTACTCGTATCATGAATCCGCTAAGAACTTTGCCAGTTCCCCTTGTGAAGGTTTTCGGCGTGACCATCCCGTATTTTGCAACGCCGAACATGCTCATTCTCAGATCAAGCTTGATTGTCAGGCAAGCATCCCTGCGTACATAGACCATGCGTAGTTCTAGCAAGTCGACAAAAACAAAGTATGCAATTGTGTGCCCCAATACTCGGACTCTGACCATATGTGTCTGTCTAGTGGAAAGGCTCGGTCTTTATATAGCAAGCTTCTCCCAAGAGCCTACTCCACCAGACTCAATCCCAAGTGTATCGCGGAGAAAAGGGGAAAGGCTGCACCGGCAATGAATTTGTTTTGGGAGTACGTTTCAACTTCAAACAGAGAGCAACCCTTCAGGCAAAATTCCATATGCTCAATATTTGTAAGCATGGAAACCATCGGATGGCGGAGCCAAAGGGCTCAGCGATGGGCCAATGACTGGTAATCGGCAGAAGGGGCCTTTGGGGCTCTACCGGGAGCTCCTGGATCTTGCGAAAGCTGCTTCTGCTGAGGACTTTGCTACAGCTGTGTTGGAGTTCGACCCGTTTGCTATCCTCAACAAGTCTTATTGCGATGTCTCTGCCATGGGTTGCGCCATGCTTGGCAGGCTGCTTAAGAAAGCACTAGAACGCTTGGGGGGGCAAACCAAGACAAGCCCCCAGCAAACTGATGGTTGGGGAGAAGACCTAAACCTTGCTACAGACCAAACAGATGGATGGGGAGATCTAGATCTGGATATTCCTGATGCCACACCTCCAAACCAAGCACAAGACCATTCAAGAGAGGAGCCCTTGCGGCAACGCTTGATGCGCCAATCGAGACGTTTGCAAGTACTAGAGGCCTTGGATGGTGAGACAGTGAACTCCGAAATCAGTTGGCCAGAACTCCGGGAGATGGATGAAGACTCCTTATGCAAAGTGACTTGCCTTTGGGCAGCGAAGCAATGGATTCCGGCATTGGAAGCACTCTTTTCTCAAGAAGAGAGGTTCGTTTCGTCCCACTGGCAGCTCATCTTGGGATCACTTCCAGAGACGGCAGAAATCAAAGAGGTGAAACATTTGCTTCCAGTTTCTGCTTTTGCTTCAGATCCAGGAAGCGGTGCATTGTTAAAAGTCGATGATGCAACTGACTGGTATTTAGAGAGGGCCCTCAAGATTGTAAGTCTCACTGGCTTGTGCCGAACAGCAACTGGGTCCAAAACTTGTACGGAACTGGTTTCATGTTCCTTTAAACATGCCCATTTAATTTGAACAGTTGATCATGTACCCCCCAAATAGGGAGTAATGACTCAGTGATGACAGCAATATGTCCAGCTGAGGCGATGGACTTGCTAGAATATGGCATTTGCTCTGGGCAAGGACTTCCATGGCCTGAGAGGAGCACTCTTCCAAGTGCAAAGGACTTACCTGAGCTTCAAACGAAGCCTGGAACATCTCAGACCAGAATGTCCAGACTCTATGGAATGTTTTGCTTATGTGAGGAGTATCAGCTCTATTTGCAAGCTTGCCACCAAGACATGTTAGACTCAGGATGGCCACCAGATGAGCCTCCACCCTTGCAATCCTTAGTGCGATTCATGGACTTCTGTGAGTTGTCGCCTTCGGGGCGTCTACGTTTGCTGCTGAAACGGAGCTCTGCATCGACCGTGGTGGAGGACATCCACCAATGGCTCCGCATTTCGCCCTCCCTCGCGACGGTGCCCACCGAGGAGATGGGTGGCACAAGCCTGACGGGCCGGACGGAGCGGTTGAGCCGCGCCTGCCGGGTGGTACCCAAGACCGAGGAGACCCTGGCCAATGCGCTGCTGGGACGGCTTGGAAGTACAGGTTGGGATCCGGAACAGTTCAAGCTCCTGGCGCAAGTAGTGCAAGCATCAAGCCCAGCCTTGCCCAGATCTGAACGAATCATCAAAGACCACACGGTGCTCATGGAATTTATTTTCAAATCGGTGTACAGTGAGGACCAAAGATGCCATGCTGCTGACATATTTGAACGTGTCGATGTCATGTATGGCTGCATTCCAAAGCCAGACTCTGATGCTACCGGCGATGCTGAGTCATGGGCCAAATTCCAAAAGCAGGCGGATGAGCTCGAAAAGCACCTCACATGTGTTGAATTGCTTCTAAAGCACAAGATCAAGCTGTCCTTGAGTTTTGCTGACCTTCGAAGCGGATGCAGCAATGAAAACATGGCCATCCACTCAATGTGGAACTTGTTTCGAGTGCTCGGGGCTCGTTACCGACCGGCTCTTTTCTGGCGAAGCTTCCAGCAAGAACTTTTCTATCTGCACACTCATGCATTTGCGGCTGTTTCGATGAATTCGGTGTACGACATGTACGTGCGCTGTCTTGTAGAGCAAGACCATGTCGAAGTCATGAGCAGTGTGGTTGAGAATTGGACCCTTTGTTGTAATGACCTGGCCTCCAGTTCGTTAGTTGCTTTGGCAAAGGAGCTGGTGAATGGTAGCCCATCACTGCGTCATGCGGTTTTGGAAAAAGCCTCACGTCTGTTGAAGTGTGCACCTTCGCCTCAGGCAGCTGAAGAGCAGGACTTCATAAAGGCTTGTGAGCTACTGCATGATTTGCTGTGGCGGAAACCGAAGCGTACCTTGCGCTGGGTACAGTCGGCTGTGCAAGACATCACCAGTGGCCAAGCCCTGGCACAGCTGTCTGAGATGCGAAGCAACTTTTCAATGATGGGGCAAACGTCCCGAGACCCACGTGAGATTCCACCTGATGCCTCTGCTTTTTCAATGGAAGGCTTTTGCATTGAACTTCCTGTGCAATTGCGCTTGAGGATTCAATCGCCTTTGCGCATTGTGACCGACCTTCTGGAGTTTAATCCACCGATCTTGTTGGAGTCAGAGGATTTACAGAAATTCTGCTCTCTCATTGGCCTTCCACCCAGCTCTCCAAGTTGGGCTGAGGTCATGGCCTTATGCGGTGCAGCTCATTTGCTTTGTGGAGACCGGGCAGGTGAGGCTTTGAGTATCACAGAGAAGCTTCTGGTCAACAAGCATCCTGGAGCATGGAAGTTGGCGGTGGCTCTAGCCACAGATGATGCTGTGGACCAGATGTCAGCTGCTAGCTTGCTGGCAGATGCTGCTCGTGTTTGCTCAGAGAAAGACCTGCCGACACTTTTGAGCTATTTGGAGGGAGCCCCGGCTTGCCGCTCGCAAGAAACAGAGGCTACTTTGTTTCCAATGGACTTGGATGAGTTGGGAGAGATTGCAGCTTCACCAAGCAGTGAAAGCAAGAGCAACCTGGAAGCAGCTTGGCAGAATGAGGACGTCGGAGCAGCAGTGACAGCTTTGGTGCACATGGTGCCCAAGACAGAACATGTAGGACATGACTCAGAGGGTGTGCAAGCACAGGCAGTGCAGGTGGCCAATTTCTTGAATTGCAACGAGATGACGAAGTCTGAGTCTTGGGATCTGTGTGCCGATCTCCTGGACCGTGAATGCCCAGAGACAGAGCCGGATCGCGAGGATCGCGTTGCAGTCTCTTCCGCGTTGCGGGCGCTGTGTGAACTTTGTCCCGACTTGGACAGTGCCTTGGGTGGAGAAGGTCGTCCGGAAGAATTGGTCCAGCGTCTTCTCAAGCGAGCTTCAAGTTCTTCCCCATCTGAATCCTTGGCACTTGCAAGGGCGGTCGCTGGTGTACCAGAGCTTGTGAAGATGGGAGTCACCTCTTCCACCATTGCCTTGCATGCGGCCAAAGCTTTGGTCTCTACAGATTTGGACCTAGGCCCTTTGATGTTTTGGCTGGAACCGACCGAGGCTCTGCAGTTCTTGGAGTTTGCCTTGGATATTCCCTTGGAGCGCGCCAGGACCTTAGAGGTGATTGCCCTTCTGCGATTCAAAAGCGATGATCGACTTTCCGTGGCTTTGCTTCAAGCAGAAGCGCTGACGCTCCTCAGATCCACTGGAAAATCGGAGATGGAGAGCGTGAACCTGCGACTGCACCCCGAACTCTCCATGGAAGAGATCAAGCGCCGATGGTTGCAAGAGATGGCACATTTGGACAGCTTTTTGCCGATAGCCGAGACCTTGCTGGAGACAGGATTCACACAATGAACATGTAGCAGAGAGACGCTTTCTGAGAACAGGGAAACCCAAATTGGAGAAGAGCGGCGGTGGTGAAAAGCAGTGTAGCCTCATACTCTTGACCTGACGAAAGCCATGGGCGCAGTGTTCTGCCTTGTTATATCAGCTATATAATATCGAAAGAAAGGTAGAACTGTGGAGCAAAGATGCAACTGTGATGTTTGTTTCTATAAAAACATCCCACTGGACATGCTTCATATACATACAGGGATTCAACGCTTCCCAACAGGGCCATCTCGCCATCTCAGATGACCAGGAGTGGCTTCAACGCTTCTGGAATTCCCAAGCGTCGCTTCGGGCTGCGACGTTTGGTGGCGCGAGGTCTCAGAGGCTCGATGAGACATGTCGGAGAGGTTTGCTGTGGAGTCCATGCTTCCTGAAATGTCCTTGAAGAAGTCCAAAAGAGACACTTGGGGAATGGAATCATGGAAGAAGCTTGCCAGAAGTGGAAGGGCTGTATCATGGAGGTCATTTCAAGAGCATCCACATGTTGGACGCCAATTAGGATTAAACGTCATGGATAATTTCTCCTAAGCAGCAGGATGTGATTCCACCGACACCAGAGCTTGCGATGCCTTTGTGGGAGGAGTGGGGAACAATTCTTTCGTTGGAAGTGAAACAGAGCGTAGAAAGACAGGAAGGACATATTTTGCACTGATGAAGCATAGCTGTCATGTGCAGGACGGTCGAGCCATGACCACTCACGTGTGTAACCTAGCTGAGATGCATCCGCTTTGCATAGACCATCCGGTTGTAATGGCATCTTGAGGCTGGTATGGTGGGTCTTTGCTTCGCTACCAACTCCAGCAGCCTGGGGTATATCCCTTTGGAAGGCCAAATGGGAGGCTGATTGAAGCTAGATATTGCGTATAGGGCTAGACATATCACGGAGGACGTACAATCTGGATCCTTATTACATCGTGAGTATGCAGCCTAGCAAAACACACCAAGGGTCTCTCAGGACCTGAGATGGGCCAGTGCCACTTTCTCGCAGATGGTGAGCCAAGAGCTTCTCAGCCCAAGAGATTCATGCACATTTCAGCCTAACAGACTCATGCGGATATTAGATGTTGGAAAGGATCTCCAAGGCTGGCAACGATCAATTTGTTTGGTTGGAGTAATTCAGTGAATTCAGACAGGTTTATGTCGAGAAGATTTGTGAGGGTGAACCTGTGTATTTGGCTTTTGTCCAACAATGGGGCTTCAGAGAAGCTTCCGAGGTTTTAACTGGTGGCCTTTTTCACCTTCTCCAGGCTTGTGGCTGGTTTTTGACTGAATCAGCCAAAGCCTTTGCACATCCAGAATCAAATACTTGTATGATGTTAATAAAGATTCTTTCTGCCATGCAGTCCTTCAATTTGACAACAAAAACTTGTTCTTTACCATGTGTTACAGCAAGCTTACTGTCTCCTGCAGGCAAGGCCCAAAGTGGCACCCTGCGCAGAGGCCAGGAGATCCTTCACTCGAAAGGAACCAGCAGACACCCATCACAGGCTTTTACTCATGGCTTCAATAGTCAATATATTTCAATCTTACTCTGACTCATAATGCTTCGGCAGAAGGCACGGGCTTCTCAACCAAATCTAGAAGACAAGGAAGGACTTCGAAAGCAAAGCATCGCAGTTGTTCTTGAAAGCGGGTACGCCACAGCACCTTGCAACAGGGAGATCTGGCTCGCCAGCAGCTGCTTCGTGGCTTGCGTGGCCGCCTGGCACCTAGCAAGTCAAGTTGGTGAAGGTGGTGAGGCTACCGTTGAACGCAGAAGCTTCCGTAGCATCTCAGCATCTCCTTTCTGTTTTGAATGTCCTTTTCTTCCATTCCTTTTCTTGTATCCGAAATTGGCACCCTTCGGGGCCACCAAAGGGCATCCCCACAGGCGCCAGCGTTGGAGCATGACCACGTACAGCATTTTTTACACAGCACTGCAGCGTTGAGGAATAGACCGCTTTCTGAGCCAAGAGGATCACGAGCTGCTGGAGAGGGTGGTAAGCCATTCAGGCAGCGATGGAGGTCAAGGCAGGGTTTGGTGCCGCTGATAAGACGGTAACATTTGATGCCGATTCTGCGAAAGCTAGAGCGAGAAAGGACTCATGGGTTCAAGCTACCCAAAAGTGTGCTCTTGTCATATTTTGTGAAGGTGCAGGTGCGTGACCGATTTCTCTCATGTCATAAAGCCAATCACAGGGACGAAAGAGAGGTCAATACCGGGGCGCTTTTTGTATGCTTTGCCACAGAGAGACAATGCAGCTGGCTTGTGCAGGTGGCATCTATGCCAGGCTTTTAAACGCCCTGAGCTTAGTTAGTTCAACTAGCTGAGAGCGAATGCAAAGTGCCAATGAAAGTGCAGTTAGAACATGATGTATACATAAACACAGTTCTCACTGTACATTCCGAACGACCTTTTGGCACAAATGCCTGAATTGAGGAAAAGGCGGGCAGACCCTCGTTCGAGCTATAGGTGGTTGAGGCATACTTTCACGGTATACTTGACTAACACCCACTCGCAGGTTCTCAGCCGTAGAGCTCTTGCTGCGAGCTATAGAGAGACCACAATATTGACCTGCAATGTCAAGTTTTGGTGGGAGCGAAAGTGAACCCTATTCCTTTATGAGCTCAATTGACGCCACCATCATTATGATGCCTCCAAGTTCGATGGTATCAGGTGAAGGCAAAGCTGTGCACCGGCCAGTATTGCTTGTGTGCTTGCACGATCTGGCCATACAGCTGAGGACCAGGATCAATGGCAAATGACGAGTACTGGAACTGGTCATCCTTAGCCTCAAGACAACGTCCAATGTTGAAGTCTTGTACAAGTCTATGGGTTTGTATCAACAAGAGAACGAGGCGCCGCCGCGTCCAACATGAGGATACTCTGACCAGAACTCCAGTCTCATGCGTATGACGTTAATGCGTACAACACGCTGAGGGAGATGCCAAGAAGATGCCCCCCAATAGAAAAGAAGGCCGTGAAGAGTGTGGCCAGTCTTCCAGAACCCATGGCCAGCCTGAACCAAGCCAAGGCCTCTAACCCAAGAGGGAAGAAGTAAGCATGGACAAGAGGAATCTTCCTGGGAAGAATCAGAAGTATTGCCCATTCAGTCGTAAGAGGCCTCGATCTCCCTCTCAAGGACGAGAGAAAGAGCTGGGAAGAGAAAGGAAGATAACTTGTTGGGGATCAGTGAGAGGTACACGCACTAAGGGCAAGGAGCGCAAGCTTTATCGTGATCCAAAGGCCGCCCAAGAAGTCGAAGCCGCGGCTGATAGGGAGGCAACAAGCAAGCTGCAGAGGCACAACAGAAGAAGGGACGGGAGGACGACTCGCAAGTTGATCGCCAATCAAGAACCTCCAGCTCGCCCACAAGAAGGAAGACGTTCTGCATCAAGTACGTCCAAGACTAGTCCAAAAGAAGATGAAACCTATCTAGACCCCGGAGCTTCACCCTCGTCCACAACATGGTGTCTTACGCTCCAAAATGAAGAGCGGACGCGCAAAAATGAAGGGGAAGGACAAAGGCCAGGGAAGAGGAGCGAAAGGCAAAGGCAAAGGTGTGAAAGGCAAAGGATAATAAGACGCCAAAGGCCAAGAACGTGGATATATGGTGACGCTGCGTACCTCCGCATTTGCCTCAACATGATCAGCCAAAGCCAGGCGCCCATCTTTGTGAACGACCAGACCGATGGACCGAACAGCATGCGGGTATGCAAGACTATCAAGGCACAGAACCCCCCAATTTACCAAGTGGTGGATGGAGGAGGACATGGCGCGCGCAGGGTTCATCAAGCCGAACATCAAGCCTTGCTGCAAATCCTGAGCCCACAAATCCATTCCACTTGGACTATCTCCTGAGTGTGGATAAGTCATTGTTTACAAAGTCCGCATCAGTTTACTAGACTAGGTCGTAGTTGGAATCTAAAAAGCCTGCGGCAAACATGCATTTCTGCAACTGCAGTGCCCTTACAAGTCAAGTGCATGGTTGAAGAACTTCAGCCAAACATGGGGGGTGCTAATGGAAGTGCAGTGCAGATAGAGCATGATGTCCAAAGACAGTTCTCATTGTACATGCCAAACTGCCAAACAACCTTGCGGCTCAAGTGCCCGAATTGAGGAAAAGGTGTGCAGACCCTCGTGCCAGCTATAGGTGGTTGAGGCATACCTTCACGGTATACGTGACTAACACTCACTCGCACTAAGACTCATTCGGTGGACACGAGGTGAGGCCACAAATGTTTTGACGCCTGAGAGCTTGAACGATCCTAGCCTTTGGACGACTTCAGGTCGACAGCGTTCAATTACACGTGGCTTCACTTGGTGAACGAACTACTTCAATACACCAATGCCAGTGCTGCCAAAGCTGGTTCAATGTGTTTGGAGTTTTCATATGTGGCTTTTGATTCCTTTTTGCAGGGCCTGAACCAGCTGGATGCCTGTCAGCTTAAAGAGGTGGACCCTGGACCCTGACAACAGGGAAATTTGTTTTTCTGCGTTGCCTGCGCTTGTCCTCAACTATTACTCTGTTTTTTTGTTTTCTTTCCTGTGTTGCAAACATGCTTGCTCTATGTAGCCTTGGCTTTACATGGGCGATTGGTGGTCGACTTTGACATGTTTGAGTGAGATGAACATGTGGAGAGCACCGCCAACTAGTGCCACTCGTACAGTTCGTTTCCAGGTGCTTTCATCCTCTCGCTTCGTGGCCCACGAGCTAAATACGCTCGGCCTTCATGTGCGTCTTGGCAGAGAAGTTCCATTCAGTGCCAAAGTAAGCACGATTGACTCCTTCTGGATGGAGAGATATCCCAATGATAATTGCATAGCAACACCTTTTATTCAACCTATACATTCGCCACCTGGTAGCTCAAAGCTCTGAGGCTACGGAGCCTGCTGGCAGAACGCATGGTCACTGCTAGAACTTTGGGCCGAGGAGATTGTTGACATGATCTGAGCTGAACATGACAGACTTTGCATGTAAGTAACTGGACCTTCTGAACAAAGAGGAACCCAACAAGTTCTGGACAGATATGGAAACGACTACATACCCGGGAACCAGGAGCTAGAGCATATCAATCCTGCACCTAGTCGGTGTAAAGAACCAACCCTGGCCATGGCAGGATACACGTCGCATCCAGACTTCCCCACCTGGCACCGCGATGGGCTTTTGATAAAGGAGAGGGGTGTGAAAACCGAAGGAAAACAAATTAAACCAAAAACCTTCAGGTTGAGGTTGCATCTAGTTTTTTTTTGCCCAGGTTGGGTTTTGCACAGTTTGTAACAGGATGTCTTGGATAAGCACCGCAAGAGCAACAGGGTGTTCTTTCCATCAACTTGGAACTTGGAAAGCATTCAGGACCTTGATGATCCAGAACTTGGTGGAGACGAGGCAGAACCTCATTCAAGGGAAACGCAAGAGAACATTTTGCAAAGATTGAAGGCTTGCTCTAGAGTGCTTTACCAGACCTTTTTCATCGTGTTGGCTGCCATGGAAACGCCGGTCTTCTCCTCAGGGAGTGCTGAAGCTGCTGCGCATGGTTTCTGGAGAGGACCAGCCTCCACTCTCCACACATGTGGGCCACATCACCACTGCGGCATTTCCACACATGTGGTGATACAGATGCATGCCATTGAGGAGACCTTGGGCATTCCCGAGTCCCTGCATTGGCAGCCAAGGCTCGGTCATTTATAGTTGTCACTACTAGCGTCCTTGTTCCTAGTAGCGATGCCAAAAGCGTCCTTGCTCCTAGTAGTGCCCCTAGTAGCGTCCTTGCTCCTAGTAGTAGGCCAGGAGCCCCTAGTAAGGTCCTTGTTCCTAGTATATAGCGATGCCAGGAGCCCCTAGTAGCGTCCTTGCTCCTAGTAGTAAGGCCAGGAGCCCCTAGTAGC